TAAGAAAAAGAAGTAAAAGAAAATTAGTAAAACAATGTATACCTCTTTCCTTGATGTTTCTAAAGGGCTTGTTGTATATGTGTTGCCAAAGCTTGGTAGTTTTATTTGAAAAATATGTTGTTTTTCCTTGTGTGTTTGACCAGGTTTGCTTTTTCAAAAAAAATGCCAAAAAAGGAAATTTTTAGGAAAAAGGAGGATCATCCTATTTATATTTACTATTATATAAAGTTCTATATTATGTATATTAAATATAATATAGTTTATATTATTAAGTAACTGTTATTTTATTCAATTGTTATATTTTTACATATCTTTCTTATTTACTTATTTATCAGTAATCTATATTTGAAACTTAAATAAACTTATAATATTATTGATAAAATATATCTATTTTAAATTATACAAAAAAATTTTATTATAATATTTTAATATGTTTATTTGTTTATATAAATAATTTTATTTTAATGAAAAGTTATTATTATAATATTTATATAAAAGATTAACTAACTTGTTTTAATAATAAGTTATACATATTTGTTATAACTTATCTCTTTTACATATTTGTATTTATATAACAGAATTTGAAATAGATTTGTTATTTTGATATTTATATACATATATTAAGATTGTTTTATCTTTAGAGAACTTTAGATCTTTAAATAATTGAAGCAACTTAATTTATTAAGTAAACTTAATTATTTTTGAGATTTTTTATAATATTGAAAAGGATATTAATCTGCACTAACCTAATTGTAAGATATATAGAATTGATATTAACTTTTTTATTTTGATTATAAATCAATTTTCAATTATTATTTTTCTTTTAAAATTAAAAAAAAAAGAAATTCAAAAAAGCTATTAGTAAAATTGTTTATACCTCTATTTTTGATGTTTTTAAATAATTTATTATATATTTTATTATATTGATTTGAAAAATATATTATTCTTTCTTGTGTGTTTGAACTGATTACTTTTTTCAAGAAAATTACTACAAAAAAAATTATTTAAAAAATTGAAAAAGTTTTTTTGATAATATAAATTTTTATACTTTTATTGTATATTTTTTTTCTGTTAGATTAGATATATATACTTTATTAAATATATATATACTTTACATTGAAAAATATATTGCTAAAGTTAAATCTTTATCTAATTCACTCATCTTTATTTTAAAAATTTATTAAAACTCTAAGTACAACTTTGAAAATAATTTATTGTATTATTGGTAGTTCAAATAAAAATTCTTCTAATTGTTAACTTCATTGCCTATAGGTTACTACTGCAGATCACTCTGTAATGTTTTGACAAAGCTTAAAACTCAACTATTTTATTTCATACTTCATTCTTTTTGTCAGAATTTCTTGAAATCTTTTATCTTCTAGATTTTCTTTTTCAAATAGTAGTTCTCTTCTCTTCAAGAATATAATTTTCTGACATAAAAAACAAGGAAGTCTTTTTGTCTTATCTTTTCTATCAATCCCTTGTATTTGTTCTCATTTTATTACCTTCTTACATCTCTTGTTTCAGACTTTTTTTTGAACTTGATTGCAGATTCTTTTTGTATCTTTATTATCTACTTTCTTTCTATCCTTTCTATGTTTTTATTAATATTTTAAATCTGCCATTTCTAAAATGAGATTATTTCTTATAAGGCTGATACAGAAACTTAGGATATTTTGGCTGATTTTAAAAGTCTGTTTTACTACTCTAGAGATTCACTTGCTAAACTTCTCTATTTCTTCTTAATTATCAATAATCAACCTGTATTTTTCTTTACAATCTTTTTCTTTCTTTTTTATAGAAACTCTTTTTAAAGTTTCTAATAATTCTATCTACTCCTTTATTCCAGGCCTCTTGTAGCTGGTTCTTATAAACTGAACATAATAGCAAGTGTTCTATAGTTTTTTCTTGTTGGCTACATATAATATATTTTACTTGCTTGTATGGGTCTAATCTTCTTATAATATTAATTTCGCGAAATATTCGATCATTTTATTAGGCACGTGAATATGACGTGTATTTTTACAGGAGTTATCGTAATTTGGAAATTTCACTCGAAATAATTGTATTCGCACCTGCAAAGGTGTTGTATTAGTGACGCAAGGGTGACGCACGAAAAATCCATGGAGAACACCCCGCGTGATAGAAAATAGCAACTAGAACTCTGCTACAAGCCGCGAGAAATTTTATTGCATTGCATTATTTTCATTTGCGATCAATTTATGTTGCCTCTGTTGCGTCGTGACGAAAAGGGAACAACACTCGTCTTATTTTTAGCATGCGATCAAGTTTTGATATTCAGGATGAAAAGTGCAAACTCAGGCGCCCGTTAACATATAACATCTATGTACTTTGCTCACAGAATCTGCGTTAAACTTGTGAGTATATAAACCTTAATAAAACTCACCGTAGTTCGCTCACTAAATCATTACATTTGGTAAGTAACCTCACTCAAAGATCAAATATGAATCTCAACTTCTGCGCCATCGTTATTATTTCATCATTTCTTGACCCTTGAACCTGCCGAAGTTATCGTAGGTGCGCCGAATTCATTCAGCACACTATTCCATTTTTGGTCTCGGAATTATTATAATAAGGAGTAAGTCAGACTCAATTTAATTAAAACGGGCAATTTGTGTGGCTTATTATGATATTGTGCTGCGCAATATGTCTATAAACATCGTGATTCTTTGTTCATTGTTAGCTAAAAAAAATTTGGATAGTGTGAGAATTACGTGACTTTGGTTGCGCATTGCCTTCTAGGGAACTATAATCTGCGTATTGTTAATAAAACATATATATATCACCATTTGCAATCTTATGCGTTTTAAAATATGGTATTAATATAATGAGAAGATGGAGATGAGAGAGTGTGTGCGTGTCGGAATGAATAAGCGGAAAATGGGAAATAATGAATCTTCGCGGGTAAATTGTCTATCTTTTCCTTAAATGTTTTACAACAAAAAAAGAAGTGTGTTTCTTTCCTCGAAACGAGCCGCCTCTTTTCTTTAACCCACGTAACAATGAAAATGCAGTATTTAAATATCACAAAAAAATAATTTTAAAGTACAAAGTTTAGTTACATGGGAACTCAAATATGTTAAAAATTATTTATTTTATTCACATCATGCCTTTTGACTTCCCGAATCAATAGTCCGCTTTCTCATCATAATTCGAGAATATTCTGTTCACCAATATTCTCACCTTTGGCGATTTCAGAAATACTTTCTCGTCATCTCCTCGAGTTGCTCCAATTCCATTCTCGTAACAATATCCAAGATTATTCTGTCCATAAGTATTCCTATCTTTAGTCGATTTCAGGTACCATTGAAATGCTTCTCGTTATCTTGAGTAGTTCCAATTCCATGTCAATGACAATATCCGAGGATCACTTTTTCAAGGGTATTCTCACCTTCAGCTGATTTGAGGTACCATTCAAATGTTTTTTCGGCATATTGAATGGTTCCAATTACATTCTGGTGGAAATTGTAAGGGTTATGATAGTTTTTTTTATGTTTTCCTTGGCGATTAATCTGCGAGGAAATAATCAATGTAAGGTAGTAACTCCGAGGTGTAATTTAGTCCTCTAGTCAATTATAAGAATTTAAGTGGATATACAGTAAATCGTGTAATAAAGCTGTTGTTTAATAAAACTCAAAATTTTCGAATTTTCCATTAAATTACCGGGGCACTATAAGATTTTCGTTAATCGGGCTTCTTGTTTTCGCTAGATTTAATAAAATTGTGGTCCTTTAGAGAGATTCCGGTACAAATGGTGTGATCGTTGCATCCAAAGAGTTGAATGATCCCTTTGCCTGAATATGCCTGAATAACTTCAGCCTCGTGTCGGGATTTTCGTACCGACAAGATAAAAAAACTGTCCTTCCATCACTGTCTCTTTACGACCGATAAAATTTAAAATGACTAATTCAAATCTATAGTCCTCCGAATAAAAAGGATGAATATTTGCTCGTGATTTGCCAAATTCCAATTCTTCTATTTTTGGTTTACCTTTCATCAGCTTTATAGTTTAACCAACTTGAATAAGATAATAAAATTTTTGGATAACGGTGTTAATAAAAGAATCTCATGAGTTTTGAATATTGCAATAAGATAAATAATAAAAATTATTGATTTATCAAATAGACCTATTGAAATATACAGTAATAGATTATCAAATTAGAAATATTAAATATTAATAATGTTTAGTAGCATTAATATTATGCTAATAATAATTGTCGTAAATTCATTTAACTTGCATCCAATTTAACAACCAATGCTAAAAGAAAAGGGAATTCAAAACGCAAAAAATAAAAAAAATTTTCGCATAAAATAATCAATGTTCCTGGCAACAGATATTGTATTTCTATTTATTATTTAAACCACCAACTTCAAAATAGCGGCTGAAGGCGTAATGCCGATGTTAAATCTCCAAGCTTAATATTCTAACACAACAATCGGATCCGCAGCTCACTAATCTTAATTTTACTTTATTCAAATTGTTAGATGAAGTTTCAACCATCGAGTTGTTCTTAGACACACGTTCAGGATCGCTTAAGATAAGTCGATTAACACTTGCTACGTGGCATTCGCTAAGTAATGACGGGTAGAAAATCATCTCGATGTTTAAAGTAACCAGAAAAGTGTTAAAAACAATGACGAAAAAATAACTCACTCTTTTCCTACATCCAATGCTAGACTCCAATTTTCCAGTTTGGCATCTTCTGATTTGAACAACAAAAGCTTACCATTTTCTAATCCAACCGCGATACAATAGCTTTTTAATAGAAAAAAACCCCCCCCCCCCCAGTTCACATATTGTACTTTTGATCCAAAACATAAAGAAGTGTGAAAAATCAAGAAAACCTTACCTTTCTGTAATAAACCTGGGAGCAAAATCAATTGCCGTGACCGCCTCACTCAACTTTATGGTTGAAATACATCGCCATTGAGTTGTATTTTGGGAAGTATCATCCGTTTGTCGCCATATCTTTACCTGCAAGATTAATTGCGCATTGCTTAGTGTAGTTATAAAATAAGAAATTTATCTTTAAAGAAAATTCATTACCGTCTTATCTCTCGATGCAGTGGCGAATAACAAATCATCATGACTCCAGGAACAATCCCAAATTATTCGTGCATGTGCCTTATCCTTACTCACTAACACATATGGTGCCGCTAATAGAAAAAAATTATCAATGAATGTTAAGTACCCTTTATTATGTATGACGACCTGATGCTAATTAATGGATAAGGAATACCTCCGTCATCGGTTCTTTCGAACAGTGACCAAAATCTATCCCTTGACACACTTAGGATCCACTTGTCATTATGTGAAAACCTTATTTTAGTAACGGTCAAAGAGTGTGACTTCAAGGAACCATTTGGCAATTCCTTCCATGTCATTGTGTCATACACTCGAATTACCGCGTGTTCGGCTGTAGTGGACTAGATAATATATCTTGTGTTGAGTAAATGCAAATTAGAGATGAGAAAAGAATATGATCAACCCACCTTGCATGCACACGCTATATATTTTCCATCGTGACTTGCGCAAACACTCCTAAGCTCGTATCCATGGCCATATCTAATATTAAAAAACTTTTTACACATGTACTATCTTGAATCAACAAAATTCAAAGAATTAAAAGTATACAATTTGTCAATTTCAGGCCATAAAGTATTTTGCATTAACTGTTCCTCAAACGGTGGCTTGTCAAAAGTTTTCATGGAGTTGAGTGTGATGGAAGAGGTGTGAGCAGGAATCTGTCTATTTAAAAAGTCGTCTTCATCCTGCAATAATTCTATCGATTTTTCAATATCCGAATTAAATATTGCTTTATTGGATAATCCTAGCGGCGGGAGATTCGCGCCAACTGGTCGAGATTCCTATTTCAAACGTTGAATGGTGTAAACACTGAAATTTGTAATCACATGATATCTTTAACAAACGAACCAATTCTTCCAGAATTTTATGTTCCCCGGATATCTTTGCTAACGACTGCACAAAATTTCTCGGGGCGTCAAATACTCTCAATATCTAGATAGATATTTAACATAGTAGTAACATGCAAACATCAAACCATTGTGCATCGTTAAGGTAACATGCGTGAAACATACAAAACATTCTCAAATGATGGAATAGCATGCATACCTTTTCATCAGCTCCACTGATAACCCGCCATTTGTCAACAAATGCTAGGCAGTAGATATCATAACCGTGAATTTGTGGGCGACCTATTTCATGCCAAGTCGTAACAGAAGTCCCATCAATCAGGCGATTCCATGGAGCAAACAACCTTGCAGTTTGATCAAGACTAAATGCAAGTGACATATATATGTCAAATGTTTTGCGATCAAATACAAAGGAAGCCCGAGTAATTTTACCTCACGGATACAAGATATTTGAGTGTCGGGTCCCATTCAATGTCTTGCACAGAATTAAAATGTCCGCTTATTGAAACCTGAGGTTGCCAATTTTGATTCTCTATGGACACGAAAATAGACGAGTTCAAGTTGAATTCCATGGAGAAATGATTTTGAATAAAAAGAAAACCAACCTTCTTCCTTCCATAAGTGAAAGGCACCGGTGTGACCATGGGCTATAATATAATTTCCATTAGGACCAAATAGACCACCAAAAAAAACCCAGAGCATCTCCACCAATTCCACCCATCCGAGCCTAGTAATTTGCATTTCATGATGTTCCGAGAGGTAATCAATAAGTCGTTCGAATTTTATGAATTCTATGTTCAATTACGAAGAAACTTTGCATCCCCACCAAGTTAATCCAAATCCCAGTTTCCGGTTCAGGCTTCCAAATAATCATTGACTTGTCGAATGAAGAAGTAAGAATCGACATGGGTTGATGATAAAATCCACTTCCTTCATCATATATATAACGGCACGGTAATCAAAAATGAGGAAACCAGAGATAATCTCGCCATTATAATCATCATAATACACACCCTTAATGGCGCACGGAGGTTGCCAACAGACGCTATATATCCAATCATCGTGTCCCATGAGTAATGCCTCGAACATTACGGAATATCTTTTTCTATAATAATGACAATGACAATAAATTGAGAATAATTGTAAAATTTGAATCGCCCATTAAAAGGAAATAATCCATACTTGATGCTCGCGTTGTCAGTCTCAATATCTATTACGTGTGCTTTTGTGCTTAACTGAACTTTTTGGCTGGACCTATTTGTACAAAGCTGTATTGAATTGCAACAATATATAACAATAAAATAGCGGTAACATCACACACATTGCATCATCTTGTAAATTTTCCAACAGTTCTTTGACGCTTGACTTTTCAGTGACAGTTGTGTTTGATCTTTTCTCCACTTCATTATTTTTGATTTCATCCATGTCATCTCCATCCAAACTTTTAGACTTGAGAATTTCCCCATTGTAAGAAATTTTCCATAATCTAACATATTTATCTTGCGATGCACTTGCCAACAATAGATCGCCATCTTTCAATTTATGTTGTTGTAGAATATTTGATTTCTGCAAATCAGGAACATCCCCACTTGAAGTGTAGACAGCGAAAGATAATGATCTAACCCAATTCTCGTGCCCTTGAAGTGATAGAGATTTAATAAACTACAACAAAATAACATTATTTAATAATGATAGGATGTGATGATGAATATAGGAACAAATAGTACATTTTATACCTGCCTATCTTTCTGTGCATATATGAGTATTTTTTTATCCGTGCACCCAATGGCTAATATGGGAACTGAAAAAAGAAAATTCTTTTCAGAAAAAAGAAATAATAAAGAAAGAAAGAAAAAATAAGCAAAGAACTTGAGAACCATCAATACCTTTTGAATCGGGAAAGTATGACAAGGCTAACGCCAGAGGGTACTTTGATTCGAGGTCAATTGTTTGTATGCAGTCCACTGAATCTAATTGACATTCAATTGATCATTTATTTCCACATAAAGAAAGGAATGTGTGCATCTCGAAATACCTTTAGCATCATCGATTATCGTTCTTTCCCAAACTTTCAATGCACCTTCGGCAGATCCGGTAACGACTAAATCTTTGTTGACGATAATCGATTTGGCCCGAATAACTCCAATGGTATTCACCGACCCCCCGTGAGGTTCTAAAATTGCAGAATTCACCCACTGATAGAAATATTTAACCATTATTAGCTGCATATTTCATAAGGCGAAGGTTTCGAGAGCGAATGTTCTATTACTTTTCCATTTTGATTCTTCTTCCAAATTCTAGCAGTTTTATCCACAGATCCAGAAATTATTGCAACACTTTTTTGATGCAACCCATCACCTTAGTTTGTCAATTAAAGATAGTAGATTTAATTTTAACGTCGATTAGAACAATTGGAAAATTCGTAACAAGTTATGTTTACCTCTATCTATAAAGCTAACGCAATTCACCCTGTCCCCGTGACCAGATAAAGTTGCTACTATGCCATCACATTCTCGATCCTATGAACCATTTAAGTTCAACACAAAAAATTTTTCTGACTTGATTTTCTCTTTGAATATTTTTAATCCATCCTTGCCGAATATCTTGTTCTACTGCAGATCACAGACTCACCTCGGGATAATATAGAGCTACGTAATTATGAGCACCAAATGCGACCAACCCGTCTTTTCCCCAGGAAGCTACTTGTGGAGTTCTGTTACACCCAATGCTTATATATTCCGTTGACATAATCACTTAAAATTATGATTGATAAGAGGGACCCAGGATTTGAACAAAAGTTTTTGATCGGAAGAACAGATCAAAGAATATTTCTTTTTAAGATTTTATTTTATTATCTGTACGACATGATCAGATCGTCACGCATCACATATCCAAATAAAGAAGTCATCGACAAAATCAGCATGCAACTACCCTCCAGACTTCGTAATCATCTAGAGCAAACTCTGACTTTGAACTCCTTATCGGTTTTTCATAACTTGTTTTAACACAGCAACACAGTTTATTATTCATACTATACAACTTCAAATCACTCTTGAGGCCAAAGGATGGCCCAAAATCCCTATGCTGAAATATCGCATGCTTGTCATCAACCACTCTGCTGAGAACGGACTTGTTAATATTATTCAGATCAAGTGAAAATATAAAACTCCTTTTGGTATTACTATACTTTCCGGGAGCCGGGGAACTCGTCCAATCTACAGGGTTGAAACCCCCAATGATTTCATTTGTATTCTTTATCTTACAAATGGTCAAAGTGGCGTTTTTAAAATCACAAAGATCGTGAAATACCCTTGAAGAAAATCCGTGATAAGATCCGCGCAGTAGTAAACTAAAGCGATGATCGTTTTGCCCGGATCTCCCTAATTCATTAATCCATCCGGAAATTATTTTGAAATAAATCGGTGTGATTAGAATAGAATCCATGTTCAGAGGTGCTGGAGGAGGGAGTAGGGGTTCAATGTTCGGGGAGGGAATAGTATGAATGCCTATCGCATGTTGTGGTTGAGATGATTGTGGTAAATCACTGCGAAGCACGTATTCGAGAATTTGAATGTAATCGTCATCATTAAATATAGATCTAAAAGGCCGAACTTTCTGAAAAAAATCCTCTCTCTTCACTTGTTTAAAGTCAATATAAGAAACTAATGGATTGATTAATTCTTTCAACGTCGTGACTTGATTTTTTCCCATGGTTTCTAGTTGGAAATTGGCCCATTCAAGAATTTTGTCCCACAATTTAATCGGGTCAATAAGGGATGAAAAATTTTCGCAAAAATGAAGGAGTTCTTCTTTTTCAAAGTATGTAAAACTTTCGTTATGAAAGATGATTTTCGGATCTTGGTTTATGAGTTCAATGCAAAATGCTGACAGACTTTCGAATTCTTTGGCCACACCATACAAAAGGGTAAAGTGTTGTTTCAATAGATCTTTTTTGAAGGCCAAAAGGTAATCCTGAATGTAAGAGCACAAGTCCGAAAAGCCCAATTTATTCGCAGCCGATAAAACACTCAATGTATCCGGTATGTTATTGTTGATTATGTCCAATCTTCCTGTGTAAAGATACCTATTTAAAAAAGAAATGATTATTGATGGTAAAGAAATTTCCATTATTGCCGTTCATCTCATACGCTTACCTGAGAAGTATCTCAAAGATTCTAACGGGAATATTTGGTTGATTAAAAACCAACAGGCTATTTGTACGATAATTTTGTAATTCGGTGCGGAAATAAGAAGAGCGGGTGCGTAAAATCAGCGAGTGCGCTCTAAACGACTTAACATCGGACCCTTCACCAACTCTAATAATTACATCGGCGTAATCTTCACACTCAAACAATCGAACGTAATCGTTTGACAAAAGTGTCAATAAATAGTTTGCCATTGAATTCGACGAGTTGAACGTTCGATGCTTGCCGCATAACGATTTTTAAAGATCTCTCACCTGATTTTCGTTACACGTTTTGTGGATCCATATCTAATAAATACATAATGAGTGATATACTTAATATTATAATACTTGATCTATTGTAAAATCTCTAATCAACAGTAATTAAGAGAAAAAATATATATAATATTTATTGATATATTATGGTAACTTTTTTTTGTTAATCCTCTAACTATACACAAAAAAAATGTTTACAAAAAGTTTTTACACTTTTTTACTAATAAAGTCTTAATATTTTTCTTAAAACAACTTGAAGTATAATTTCAAGAATTATTACCATTCTTTTCTTATTATTTATAAATCTCTTCATTTAAAAATTTGACTTTCAGTAATTAAGAAAAGTTAAATAATATCTTTAATATCAATAGCAAAAAAGTTTTCAAAAAAAAAAAAAATCTAATTGTAAAATACTTGAAAACTTTTTTAATTTTTAGTAAAAGATTTATAGAGATTTGTATAATAAAAAAGCTTATTTATTTCTTTTTAATTGTCTTGATCCTTTTAAAGTTTTTATTTTCACAGTTTTCTAAAAAAATTTATATATCTCAATTTGATTCTAAATTTTAAATAATATAAATTCTCATCAAAGATAATTGGTTAATATAAAATACTGTATATTAATTTTAGAATATAAACAAACTTCTATCAATTATACTTATATATTTTAATAATATTATTGATAATTAAAAAGAATATTTTCTAAATCTTCATCTTTCAAAAATTCAAGTCTCTTAATAAAAAAATTTATAATATTAAAAAATCAAGAAATAAATAATATAAATTACAAAATTTTATTTTTTATCTTAATTTTTCAAGTAGTAATAAAGCTTAATAAACAAAAATTGAAATTTAAATAATTACTTTTCTTGAAATATCTCAATCTAATATTTGTTTAAATAAATTATTAGTTTAATTAATTTATTGGATATTATAATGTAAATAATAATAAAGAAGATTTTATCTAAAGTTAAAGTAAAGCAAGAAAATTATTCTAATTAAGTAGATTTCTTTTAAAAAGAATTTATTTTTATTTTTGAACTTTCTTTTTTTTCTAACTTAACAATTATTGATTTTTAAATCAATAAATAACAAACTATTAACAATAATCCTATAAATAATAATTAATCTAATTATATCAAAGGAGTATAATATTGTTTTCAAAATCTAACTTAAAGTATTTTATATAATAGTAAATTAGTTACTTTGCAAAAGTCTATAAATTTATTATAAAATTTTTTTAATTTTTCAATCAAAACAAGCTATTTTAATTTGTTTTTTTTAATTTATAATTAGATCAATATGGTATGTTTATTAATCAATATAAAAATAGATAGAGATATACAGTATGAGACAATTGTATTATAATTAAATTAAATTTTATGCTAACTTATTTATTAATAACTTTCAATTTTTAAATAAACTTTTAAATATAATTTTGAAAATAATATTTTATTCTATAATAAGTTTTGATTTATAACTCCTAATTTATATATTGTTATTAACAAGTTGTTATTGTTTATTATTCTTCAAGAAAGAAATTATAAAAGAAAAAAAGAAAAATAAAGAAAAAGTATATTGAAAAATGTATAATTATTATATAAAAAAATAAAAGAAAAACTCTGCTAATCCTCTTTTTTCTTAAAAATTTTCTTTTTTAGTAATTTTTTGAAAAAAAATAAACTTGGTCAAATATATAAGAAAAAACAATATATTCTTTAAATTAAACTATCAAGTTCTTGTAACACATATATAACAAGTCTTTTAGAAACATCAAAGAAAGAGATATAAATTGTTTTTTAATTTTTTTTTACTTCTTTTTCTTAAAATTTTTTAGGAAAAGAAAAGAAACCCGTAAACTAATTCACAATCAGAAAAAGAGAGTCAATATTAACTTTATATAGCTTACAGTTAGGCCAGTACAGATTAACACCTTTCTTAATATTGCAAGAAACTTAAAAAACAACTAAGTTTATTTAAAAATCAAGTTACTTCAGTTACTCAAAGATCCAGAAGGATATCAAAGTTCCTTAAGGATAAGACAATCTAAATATATATACTGTACATATACAAACAATATATCTATCCTTTACCTTATTATATAAACATGATTATATAAAAGTAGACAAGTAAAACAAATATATATATACAGTAAAAGTAATAAACAAAACACATATATACATACTGTATATAACTTATGATTTAAACAGTTTGATTAATATTTTACACAAATATAATAATAACTTATAAAATTTGAATAGAATCTTTATATAAATAAATAAATATATTAAAATAACACAACAAGGTTTTTTCATATTATCTAATCAAAAAATAAACAATAATAACTTCAAAAAGGTTTATCCAAAATCTAAAAATAGAATAACTTATAAATATAAACAAGTAATTATATGACTTATCAATAAATCTAAATTAGTAACAAACATGAATAGAGTGCAATATATATTACAGATAGTCAATAAAAAAGAAGAGAATATAATAAACACTTTAATCAATCTCTCAATAAAATATAATAAATACTCTACTTTATGGATCTCATAATAACTACTAAAACAAAGAAATAATAAATCCAGCAGATCAATAGCCTCATTATCAGAAACATATAGTATCATAGCTAAAATACTAAAAGTCAATATAACAACTTTTCACAAGGAATAAATTCCAACTCAACATATTACATATCTTTGACAACAAGATAAAGGGATTAAAGAAGATCTTCTATAACCTTACATTGAAGATAAGAATCCTAAAAGTTAACATAAATCAGAACAATAATCAATAGAGATCATCGAATAAATAAATAAGGAATCAATAATAGACAATGAAGTAATAATGATATGCATATAGGAGATAGAAGAATTAAAATTACAAAAACTTCAAGAAATAGTAAAAAAATAATACATTAGTGAATATAGCTCTTATACTACTAGGAATAAAGATATATATGTATATATATATTTTTTTTAATTAGTCATACTGACTAGGTTTTTATTGATCAGTTATGAAAAAGTCATACAGAGTTATTTTTACAAGAGTGATTCTTATAGCTAATCTATATTATCCTAAGCCATTCAAACACACTTAGATTTTACCCAATATGTATATCATTCTGTCAGCTGCCCTGCTATACCTGGGTACTCCTGATGTTTCAAAGATCCACCAGATGACTTCTATTTATATTCAAGAAGCTATTAAAATTGTTCGATTCGTGGGGTCTTGTATACCTTGTAGGGGGTATATTCCATAATTGACATTTTTAACCATGCTTAGTTCTCAGAAGGTTAGTTATCCAATGATATTCTTCAGTTTCCATGTGGTCCCATCAAGTTTCCCGGTAGCCATTAGTAAGTCAGATTGATAACTATAGTCTTCCAGTGACCATTTTTAACCACTCTTCAAATATGTTTGCAGGGGTTTCTCTTGATTACTTCATAACAGATTGCTTCTCCCAATAGAATGGTTACCTTGGTGATTGTTTCCAAATTTTTTTCTCCCAGGATCTGCCCCTGCATTCTTCCATCATGACTATTCAACTTTATCACTCCTTGTTGGTTACCTGTGAGATTCAATCTCTGGTAACCATTGATTATAACGATCAAAGATCTTCCAGTATGTGTCTGGCCCTTTACATTTTGCAGCTGGTTCATATGACCAAAGTCTCCCAGACCTTCCATGAGACTGGAGTTTTTGAGAAGAGGTAGATTCCATATGAGACCCATAGGATCCTGAGTCTTATCATTATCTTTTTTGGCATTCTTGGTATCTGTGCATATTCCAAGTGGTGAAATATTGTGGCTTGTTTCCCAGTGCTAAAACCAACTGGGACCTATATGACCTGTTTTTATGACACCGTGGTCAAACGGTGGATTTTTATAGATTGTTTCATATTCAAGCCTACATATGGCTAATGAACATGCATTCTTGTACAATGTAACCTATAATGCAAATACTGTTCTAAAGTGGGATTGAATCAGTAACTTGCAAATGGTGACCTGGGAGCACACACACTGCACTATTGATTCACAGGTCTGAATAGAGATATTATATCACCAATGAATCTTTATTTCATAAAAAAGAAAGAAACTTATAGATTAGATGCAATAACAATCAATATTTCAGAATAAACAGAAGATGAAACTAAGGTATACCTAAGCAATACTCTTAAACTTCTATAAAAAGAAAAAAACTTGTTGCAAAAAGAGTTTATCAATGGAAATAAGTAGCTAGTTTTTGGATACAAGAGGAAAAAGATATTATAAGATGCATTAAAGAAATTAACTGAAAAGAAGATAACTTTACTATTCAAAATATAATACCTTTAACCACTTATAAGAAACAAAAGACAGAAAAAAACCTAGATATAAAAGTTTTTCAATAATCTAAAACCAAAGAAACACTATTATTTGATAAAGATGAGTTCCTAAAGAGAAAGGTAAAGACAAAAGTCAAATGTCCTTCACTAGGGAAAAATTAAAATTTTTAAATTAATAATTATAAAAAAACTATTCACAATTGTTTTCCATTATTCAAATCATTACTTTATAGCATTTTCTGATTTTTGTCCCTATTAAAGTAAAGAGCTATAAATTTTGTTCCTCAAAAAGGGGACATAAGTAATTTGTAAAATTTTATATGTTAAATATTTTAGAGACCCATTATTATTATTTGACATGTATGTTTTTTCTTTTTTAATCCACAATCAGATTAGTATAGCTTGTCTTTATTATATATATAATAGATATTTACAAATTGTTTTGACTTTTACATACTAACTCACCTATTATCAAAAAACTATTTCTCTAGATACAACTTAGGAAATGATATTTCACCTCTTTATTAACTTGGATAAATTCTCTAGCCAATAAAATTATTGCCTACAGATCATTACTATAGATATTATCTGACATGTATATTTAGTAGAT